TTGTCGAGATGAAGCAATTATTCTCACGATAGTACAGTTGCTAATCTCAAGTATGGTGTCATGGTTGTCATGCTACAGCAACTGTATGGCTTGTGGTCTAAAGTTGTAACCAAACAGAAGACACAAAGTCGCAAGGCAAAACCCACCTTGCGTCATATCCGGTTGAAGACTGATGTACTCGGTATCTTCACAGCTGAATTCGCCTGTGTCACCCTTGCCTGAAAAGCACGGACTAATTTCATGACTGGAATTACACTTGATCACAAATCATGTGCTGCCAAGCCATGAACCAACAAGCCGGGTCACCACCAAGCGCAGTGATCATTTCATCAGATGGTCAGGGCTTTTGTTCAGCCCTGGAATGGAGCAGTGTGATCTCGATACGGCTTCTCGTTGGCGTTTGGAACAAGGAAGTGCATTCTTCATTGGCTTCTGCCCCCTGCATGGATGTATGTAACCGTCCACAGCATTTCCTGCCACGGCACCAGCTTGGCACAGCATCACGACCAAGTTTCTGCCGTGGAAGGACGAGTGGAGCTGCAAGTGGTCTTTGCTGAGAAGGCCCATGGGAGGGTTTTCGCCGTTCCGACTTTCAGGAACCTGGGCACCCTGGCATCGTGTAACAGTGATAGTAGGGGGGACTTTAAGCGGCTGGATTTCCATTCATTGTCAGATTGAGGCTGAACAGCCGTTGAATGAGGCGCATTTCTGACTTGAATCGGGCCGTTGTTTCCATCACGGTGTAGTTGGGTTCCGGGTGTCACAACCTGCAAAAGGGCAGTTGGGCCAAGCTGTTGGGTAAAGCAAATGACATGTCTCGGCCTTTTTCTTTTGGTCAACTACTGAAAATGATGGTTGATAGCTTGCGGTCGGTGAAAGTAACCCCGACCAACTGCATCACTGAACCGCGAGTCCGCGACAGCAGATGCGCTCGGCCGGCGCGACTTGATCCTTGACATCTATCAGTCAGTCAGATGGAAGCATGGAAGCTTCCTACATGTGAATCCTCTTCAACACCTAAACTAGCCCGGTACTCTTTCACACATTCTATTGGTCCATGCGGTCCCGGGAAAACAAGAATTGAACAATGTGAATAACGGCTTGGGACAAGACACCCTTTTGGCTCATCGACGCATGCCGTCTAGCCGCCGCAACACTGCCTCACCAATGTCTACTCCAAAGCAACAGTATCCGGGGTCTTTTCGGTGGCTGCTTCTTCACTCTTCTCCAAATGATCAACAAACGACAACATCCTCAGTCGCCACAAGTACATGTTGTGAAGATCAGCTCGCCACGCAGCCTCGGAGAGATTATGTCCCGTGATGAGAATCATCATGAAGAATGTCTCAACGATGCTAGGCGGGATATTGCAAAGCAGCTGTCCCGTAGTAGTCCATTTCATCGCGCTCGCCCCAACAATGAGTCCAATGACGACGACGACGCCCAAAATAACGGTCAACTCGTGCGCGCAGATGACGCCCATGGCGTTGGATAGCCGATAGTTGACGGAACCAAGGTTGACCACGGCCTTATCCGGCGGAGGCACACCCATCTCATCGGACATGGCTACATCCTCGAGCTTGGCACTCTCGAGCGCGGTTTCTTCATACTGGTGCAGCCGCTGCTGGACGTTGCGCAGGACAAATCCATCCACCAGCCCAACCAAGCCCGCATACGTGCCGATGAGAAGCCACCAGTTGTCATCCCACATCATCGCCGGGCCGATGCAGATCCACACGACCATGACAATGATGAGCAGCGCAATGCCAACGAGGGTCCCGACGACGTCGGCGTAGTAGAAGATGGCGCGCTGGATCCCATTCACGCGAGGCGCGGGAATGACCACGACGGGATTCTCCTCGGCATCACCGGTGAGGCCCCGAAGCTTCAGCTCCACCTCGGAATCGACCTCGAATATAGCATCCAGGCACCGCTCAATGTACACCGTGTGCCGCTCGCGGATATTCGCCAGGAAGGCAAAGATCAGCACCATGAGCGCCGAGGTAGCCGAGTTGATGTACAGCTGCCACCGGTCACTCCAGCCGCAGTAACGCCCAAACGCGAGCCAGACGGCAATGCACACCCAGTACACGCAAATGGTGGCAAAGTGCCCGAGAAACGCGGCAAAACAGTTGGACGCTCGTCCGGCCCAGTTCTCCGCGGGAAGCTCTGGTCCAAACCTGGACGACTCTGCGGCCTGGACATCCTGGATACGGGCGCGTTTACACCGACCACTGGCTAGGACGCGGCGCATCATCCTCTTCTGGCTCTGGGTGCGCGACCTCAGACTCGCGGCGGCTCGTACCTGGCGCTCATAGCCATTGAGCTGCTGGCGCATGAGCAGCGAGTCAAACAGGTAGCTGATGATGGCTTGGATGTCGGAAATCAGAGCGGCCCAGTTGTCTTGCTCGCCGTAGCGGATGCCGGTGAAGGCCCAGACTAAAAGACCGGCGACGATGATGAGGAAGACTGGCTCGGAGCCCGAGGCCGTGACGAGGGCGTCGAGCCATCGGTCCAGTCGGCCCGTCTTGGTCTGCGCCACGTAGCCGGTGATATTGTTGACAGATTGGGAATCCGACGCGTTGGCGTCGCTTACCACGGCGATTTGACTGTCCTTGCCGTCGGCGATGCTGGACTTGAGGGCGACGTGCTGCGTCGGGGCCCTCTCTTCGATGGCGCCCTTGATTCCGGGGGCGGAGAGCCAGTTGATGATTTGGTTCAACATGTCGAGTTGCCGTAGCTCGGGGCGGGCGCCAACTTGGACAAGAGTAGCTGGAATCTGCGAGGATTAGTTCAAATCTTCTCATTTTCTTTCCCTCCTGGTCAGTCCGATGGATCTGGGGTCGCCGCCCGACATACATGGTACAAATTAGTTTTCAACTTGGACGACCAAGCCGGAGGTGTTTGTCGTCGTCGACACCCTACATTCAGGGTAAAATAGCTGCAACGCTCAGAGCGCGGGTTCCATCAAGTGAGTCTGATCGAATCAAGCTATGGCGGCCAGTACTCCTCTGATACGTCGATTAGAGTCATGCCCAGGTGAACATGCCTCGGGGTTGTCGAAAAGGTCGCCAGTGTTGAGATATCGCGGCGCGCTTGCGGCCACGATGCTTGGAGTCTTGAGAATTGGATCCGATGCGGTTGACAGCTGGAAACAGTCGGCACCGTACACCTATTTGGTTTATATGTTTATATGTTTCGCGAGAGCAGACAAATGAACAATGGGCGGTGCGAACAGCAGGGGATGTCGGATTTTAACAAGCAATAATGTAGGCAACGCAGGCGAGATGTCCACATCACATGCCAGCCCTGTTATTTATTTATCGAAGAAATTGGACTTGACTTTTTTTCTTCAGCCCCGTCCAACGGGTATCCGGCAACTCTGCAACACGCGGAACGTCGTCCGGCCCATAAAAGCCTACTTCCATTTTAGGCAGTATCTCGTGCCTGTGAGGACATCGATACATGTACTCCTATGAGGGATTTTCACACGATGCGTAAAACGCGTTTGGCGCGGCCGACTGTGGCTGTGCCGATCGCCAAATTTTTCTTCAATAGACAGACCAGCTGCGGGAGGCGGACGAGCACGACCATCACCAGTGATGACTGCAGACGGATGGAACGCTGGAATCCTCCCGTCTTACTCCCCCATTTATTGGCCACCCTTGACCAGTCCATAGTCTGCAAGTTGATCTGAAAAAGAAAGAAAAAAAGGTAGTGCGGCCGTGAAGGCCCGACCGACGCAAAGGGCATGGGTGACTCTTCTGCTCTGCCATGTACAAATATCGCGATGGCTTTCGGCTCTCGGCACACAACACTGGGTCCTTGGAGAAAACTTTTTCTTCCAGGCTGGAGCTTCATCAAGCCTCGTCGATATACCGGGCAATGGGTTCGACGGGCCAGTTCAGCCCAGGAGGGCGACCTGGTGGGCAATTTCTGGTGCCAGCCTGAACAAATCGGTGGCATCTGACCCAAGACAAGCTTTTGCCAAGGTTCCAACAGGGACATGCCGGCGATCGGCAAACTTCCGAAAACATGGCTTGCTCGTGATGACTCTGACGACGCGGTGCGCCCGCCGTCTGGCGTCATGCCTTCAATGTTGTGCCGCTTCTGGTGGCAGAAGACACTACAAAAGTAGACATGAGTAGCGATCGTTTCATCTTGGGGTCCGATTATCGCGACTGTAGCTTACTGCCCTGTTTACAGCGTGGTACATGTATCTCACGCTAATAGAAACGGCCAACTTGGAGAGTGCAGATGGAAGCTGCCTGAGAACAACATAGCCCACGTGTTTACAGGGCACCTTTGCAGATGCGGCTGGGACAAAATTGAATTCATGCATAGATCAACGCATCGATGGACTCAGCCCTGTAGCGCCATGACGGTAAAAAGCTGAAGTCTGGCGATTTTGTCAGGTTTTGGCCCCATTAGATGCCACACGGGACGGGTCGTCACCGTCATCTTGGGCCAAAGTGGTTGGTTATAAACTGTATACTCTTCAATACCCATGATTTGACAGTAGTATAGTTTCCTATCATGGCATAGAGGTGTGTCTCGGAAGCAGGCTGGATTCAAATGCGTTTGGTTTGACGCAGAGCCCACGAATGGCGTCAACCTGAGCACCCTTGGTTCCTGCAACACGACGCAGTAGCGTGGCATTACAAGAGTATATCGCTCGGCTCCAGAACAGACCCCAACCTACGCGGCAGCAAATGTCCTGTCAGGCCACCACCTCCATCTTCTGTCTCCCTCGACAATCTTCGTATGGTGTACTGGTTGAGTCGGTGGTCATGCAAGACTGGTGGTACCCGGCCTGACAAGGTCGGACCAAGGACACCATGTCATCGGGTTCACCTGGATAAATCAGTATTTTGAGTAAATGACGTGTTTCTACGACTTGAATGATTGTCAATTTCCGCAGATGCCCGTGTGAGTTGTCGATAACCCTGGTATGTTGACGAATAAAGCCTCAAACGCGGGTAGTTGCACAGCGCTCACCGTTACAGACCGCCGTTGTCATCATCTGAGCCATTGACTCTTTCCCGCCTGCGGGTTTGTAACCCTGATGCCGCTCTCCATTCCCTCCGGCGTCATGACATACCCATCTAGTGTGGATGCGCGGCCGTGGCTCTCAACGAAAGACAGCACCAAGTCTTTCTGCTGGGGGTCGTACACCAAGTGCTCGTAGGCCTTGTCGTTACATACCATGGGCTCTATGTCTTTGAGATAAAAGTTCACTGTGTAGCCAGTCAGCTTCTTGGGCTTACTGTAGGTCGAATTCACCGTACTCACTCCAAAGCTTATATTCTTCAATGCATACCCGCCAATAAGTCCGGACACGTACGCCAGATCCTCTTGCTTCTCGGGCATAAAGATCTCATTTTCCAGTATCTCGGCATCAGTAAGTCGTCGCCTCTTCCCTGCAGTTGTCTGCTCGTCCGGCGCCGCTTCTTGGCCATTTTCATCATCATCTATGTCGAAGTCGACATCTTCATAGGCGACGCTGGCACTGCGCCTCGCTGCTTTCGCTCGCTCAATGCTTGGATCCTTGTACTCTCACAGGCCTTTTGTGGAGTGGTATTTGTGATGTCCGACAATATTGGCGTTCAGTCAAGCTGCACACTGGACAATCTCGCGGAAACAGCGCCCATGCGCTTTTGAAGTCTACCCAAAGCGATCTGCTAGATTTTCTTGTTGGCGAACCTGAGTCCAGCGAACATTTCATTCATGGTGGCTAGTAGGAGTCAGGTATGGCTTCAAGGCGTCCGCCTTTTCGGCAGTCATTGCGAGGTTGGCGATTTCCTCTTGATAAAACCACAAATCTTGGAATGGTTCGGCGAATGTAAGCGTGTACTCTGTGTCCAGCCGGGATCCAATCTTCTCTGTAAAGATTGGCTTCAGCGATTCGACGAGCACTGGGTTCTGAACGTCAGCGGAATGGTACTTTAACGGATGGATGCCTCCAATACATGGCTTTTCCCGGCCCTTGATTTTGAAGACTTTGATCGCCACACCATCACAATCCTTTGCCACAGAGCTGGACACTTACTTCGGTGGCTTGTTTACCCAGATGTAGGATCCGGGCATCGACCCAGGACCCTCATAGCAGGTTTTAAAGCCATCGTTCATGCCAAACGGTAGATCTAAGGAGGGCAGTGTCTGAGAATCATGGGCTGGATTACTGCTTGTCTTAGAATAAAGCGGCATAACTCGCGTTGCGGAAAGCCTGTCACGTAGTCCCATGGTGGCCGACGTTTCAACGTTGTCCCAGGCTAGATGGCGACACTTGATGAGAGAAATTACTATTCACGTGTGAGCAGCATCGCGACGTCGCAATGAATGTCAAAGCCGGCCGCAGACCATGGCGCCAATGTAGGATTTTTAATGCTCTACCCTGTTCTTGGCACTTCAATGTTGACATCTTCTACCCCGTCAGTCCTGCCCAGATTGCACATGCGCCCAGGACGACGATGGTCGAGCATGGGGGTTCGCCAACCTACATGTCTCGAGTCAAGTAACTTCAAATGTTAGCTCATGCGGGCATTTATCAGATACGAGGGCCGCAGCTTGAGGGCCCTGGTCACAAACAAAGGATTTGCATCTTCAGCTGCCGCAATAGCGTTGAGCAGCATGGACACCAACGGACCGCCTTTGGCTTCAACCAGCACGGGGATGTGGCAGAACGTATCCTCGCCTCGTGTCCGTGTGAAACTGGCCATTGACTTCATCTGCGCAAGATCCGGAAACTGATCGGGTCCGGTGCATCTTCACCATCGCCAGTTGCTGCCCAGTTCCTCAGGAAGATTACCACGTAGCTCAATACAAGCTGTAGGCCCAGGTGATGGCAGACAGTCAGGAAGGGCTCTGTAAGTTGCGGTGGAATCTTATCCAACGGCTTTCCATCCGACGATCCGCCCATGTATACGCGTGGATCGTGAATGCCAATACCACGTATGCTCGTCGATATTCCAGCTCAGTAGCCAGTTCAGGGCCTCTTAGAAATAGTAAGCGGTGTATTTTCTCTCCTATTTCGTGTGGATTTTACATCATCGGGCAATGTGGCAGGTATCTTATCTCAGGGATCGAAGTAAAGGTTGGAAACCCGTTTCAGGGGTGACATCGGAAAGAACACCCAGCGACTTGGAGAGCCCAAACATCTCCAAACTTGGTATTTTGGTAAACATTCTATTAAAGTACGGAAATGAATAGCAAAGTGTCAACTAGTTTATCAGTGGACATCCTGTTCTTCCTGAACCACTTCTGAGGGCCTGCCAATCGTTTACGAGCTAATTATATACAGCAAGACAATGGGGAAAATAGCGTTGATCCCTGGCGTCATGCCGTAACGCCCAGTGTACGCAATCAACGAGAGCCGCGCACCCTTTAACGCATTTAACAAGAGCTGTCAGCCACGGCTGTTTTGGACAACCCCATCCCCGCCAGCTTGGCTCTTTAAGATAAGAAACGTGTATGTTTTGAACCAGTTCTGTCTCAGCTCTTTTATCTGAAATGCTCGTATACCTCGGGTATTTAAGTGAGATCCAGGCCGTTTCAGATATTTAACACAGGTGGTGGCAATAAACCCATCCTCCCAATATCACACGTTGCCAACGTGTAGCCGCCGTAAACTCACACCCATATGCTTCATTTTGTTTGGGGCAGTATCCCCCCGTCAAATCGAATTCTTCGATACTACTTCCGTCCGCTTGACACCCCACGGGTTGGTGGCCGGCCTCTTCGCTTTGGTCGACCTGGCGGTCTGCCCCGTCGAGATCCAGGTTCAACTACACTCTTCATAGTTGGCTCAACGCTGCCAGAAGTGATTGTATGTTTGGCCGGGTCGAGATTGCCGGCATTCGTTCTCTCACTTCGTCTCACCCCGATAACGCCAACCCTGCCACCGATGACTCTCCGCGTCGCATTCCTAGGTCTGCCACTTGAAGTATTCTTGGATATCACGGCAGCCGTCTTCTCAACCCGGCTGGTAGCCTGATTTCGTGCGCTTAGCAAAACTCTTGGTCGACCTCTTCCGCGATGACCACCTCTCTTGGGCAGTTCGGCGACACTTTTGCTACTACCATCAGCCTCCTTATATGCAGCCAGCCGAGTGCTTCGTTTGGTTTGTAGCACCACCTCAAGCCGATCTTTTGGGAGCACAGTCCAGGTCGCGGTGGATAAAGTGCTTTGAGTCCCAGATTGTGTGCGTTTTTGCTGCGGGTTCCAAGAGGACTTGCTCGCCAGGTGTGGCTTCTTTTCGTTATTGGACATGTCATTCATGTTCGAGGTGAGCTTATTCTTTTGCAAGATCCAATCATCACCCAAGATCGAAGCAGCCTCCTGCTCGAGATACTGGTACGCACGCTTTCGGGGTCGTCCAGGGAATCTTCTGGACACATTCCGTGCCTCACTTAGCGGCGTACTAGAACTGGTCGGCGGACGACGCCGAGGTTGGAGCTGAATCGGAGACGCCAGATGCCTGTCAGTAGTTCGAGATTCCTGTGCGATCTGTGTTCCGGGCGTGGCCGGGCTTGGAATGGCTCTTGGGGATGTTTTCCTGTTCAAAAACCCATCCGATTGCTTAGGTATTCCCAACGAGAGTCGCAGAGCTTCGTAGTCATCTTCATCCATCTCGAACGCTGTATCAACGGGACGTCTCCTTGGAACGGGGTCGACGGGAGCAGTGGGATGACCAGGTTCAATTTGTTGCATATCTGGTGCCGTATTTTCGTCATTCAGTTGTGAGGATGGGATTTCTGCTAGGGTGTCATAGTCAGACTCGGTTTGGCACTCTTCCATGAGTGCCGGCTTGGCCATCAAATCTGGCCCCTGCACCTCGTTGCCGTTGCTTAAACTGGAAGGAGCATCTGGGGGGCCCGAGTCTCTTGCCTCAGTGGTCACATGAACCATAGTAGTGTCTTCCTCCATCTCAAGGAAACTGAGAAAAGCAGACGCTTTCGTTGGCAGCTGTTCAAGTACCTAGGTACCTAGGCAAGCAGCCGAGTGTAAAATATTCGTAGAGAGTCGCCGAGTTTTTGGCTTGCGTAGAGAGAAAATCAGTGGGTACGTTCAGGAGAGCGTAGTAGAAGGTAATATTTCAATTTTCACACTGGCAGCAAGAGTGTTACCGCAAGCAGAGCGAGCATGATTTGTTCACAGGTTCCGTTTATCTAGTCACCAGCTGCGTAAATTCACAGACAGCTGGCATACATCTGGCAACTAGCAACGCGTGACATTCATTGTTATGTGAGAATGAACTCACTCTATCTTGAAATGTACCTACAGGCAGTTAGTTCACAAGGCCTCTCAACATTTGTCATCCATTTCGCCATTCATAAAATTCTCATGTTCGTTTCCATCATTCATCCCCAACGCCGTCAAACATGCAAATATCGACACGGCAGCTGTTCCCCACCAACCCCAGGCGACCATTCCAATGTCCAGCCCAAATCCATACCACCGCCCTCCAACCACGGTCCCTACGGTTCTGAAGCCGGCCGAGACGCTTTGTCCCAGGCCGTGGATGGTCCCCAGGACGCTAGGATGGGGACTGCAGTTGTTCAATAAGAGAATGCTGGCCGGCAAAGTTAATGAACGCGCCGTGGTGTGCAGAAGCAGAACCACAATCAGACCTGTCCATACATACGCGCCACTGGACGGCCGTGGTGGCTCTGTTGACGACGGAAGAATCGATATATATGGAGTTATAAAGTACGCCACTGGAAACAGGAAAAGGAACCACCGAAATGACGGCAGAGTCCCCAGGCGAGTTTGAATGGGTGGGTAGCAAAATATCTCGATGATCATCCCCAAAACGCCCAGGATAGAGGTGGCCAACCCCACCGTTGCTGCTGACATACCCAGACCCCCAGTGAATAGGAGCGGCAACGATTGTTTTTGAACCGTGTGACTCGATGTTCGATATCGAGGAGTTGAGAGAAACAGGGTCCAAATATTGGCAAAGGAACCGAGGTGGAAATCGTACAGGGCACTCGTGAGCAGGGTAAATACAACATTTCGAGTCCAGAGTTGGTTGAATGACAATTTTCCCGTTGTCTTCTGTATCCTGTACATTTCTACACGTTGTGTAGTTATGGGCATGTCCTCACCTTTTGGCAGGGCGTGATACGACTGCTTGCCGGCATGCTCGAAGATCTTTGACTTAATCATGTTGCCTAGATACAAGCCAAAATCGAAATGTCGGCTCCTGTCGCCTAAAGTCTTCTCGTCTGTCAGCTCCGCCAGAGATCAATCGACTCCAACATATGGCCACTCACCTCTTCGAGAAAAAGATATGTTGCAATGGCCGAGATGGTCAGAAGAAGGGCGTTAACAATACTAGGTAAGGCATATGGATTCTGGTATATCCACTGCGATTCAAATATCGCTGCTTCGCCAAATACCTGAGGAAAGATTTCGATCGGATTTGCAAGCAGGCCCCCAAGAACTGCCACACGCATCAGTACCACTTCAATGCTACACATCTGGGAGTTCCCGATAAAGGCATTCTTACTTGGGCCGATAATGCCTGCTATATGGAAGCTCATTGGTAAGATGAGAAAGGTCAGGGATCGGTATCTCTTCTCTACCGTAACTTCTGCGATCATGGTCCGACTAATCGTTTCAGAAATAAGCAGGGTGCCTGGATAGATCAAGACCGCAGTACTTACGTGATGCCGACAGCACCATTGATGGCGCCGCCCAAGGCTCTCCACAATGCTGCTTCGTAAAATGAAGTTGAGAATCCATATCCTACGCATGATACAGCTGTACCAGCGAGGCCGATGAGAAGCACGCGCTTACGGCCACACCAACTGGCGTCCGCAGCCTTGCCCCAGAGGATTGCAGTGAGAACTTGAGCACCGGTAAAACAGCCCTGCAGTATGCCGGCTTGTTTCGATACCTCTGCATCTGACAGCCGGTCGTCAAAGTGTTTGAGCTGGAAGAAGATGTATGCCTGTAATGAAGTCACTTGCAAGAAGTCGACGAGGCGAGATGCGAAGAGAATAAGAAGCTGCTCTTTCCGTGGCACGGCACGCCAGCTAATCGCTTCCTTCGGTTGGTCCTGGTCTTTCCCATGATAGAAGGCAGATGAGGCGGCAGGATATGCCCGAAACTTTTCCATGTCTACCATGTTTGCAGAACTGTCCCAGGCTTGAGGATGTTGTTTGTCGCGGGTCCTTGCCTTGGGGGTCTCGTCTGACCAACGAAACCATCTGTGTCGGCTCGCCATGACCTAGCACATTGGTTGTTGCTGCCAACTTGGCCAAGGTATGCTCTTTATATCCTCTGATTAATAGGACATAAAAGGGTCTAAAGCAAAGATCATTCAAGGTGGTAATACGGAGTTAGATTGATAACCAGTGGAGTTAGATAAAGCAGATTGACACCAATGATCCGATGCCCTCAGATTGATGCTTCGGCGTCGAGGGCTTGTTGGAGGTAAACCTGGAGCGCAACCGTTCTCACCGTCCTCTGTTCAACCGCTTGGATCGCGACAATGAACCCAGGAGGCTCGCCGAATCGGCACCACACTGTAGCTACCAGACGCTAAGAAAAGAACGCCTGAAATCAATTCATCGGAAGGCACATCCTTTACAATCAGTTGATTGGATTCGTCCGATGCGCACTGCTGAGGCTGAGGCGTCGGCTGCAAATCGGAAGCCTCGGAGTGTTGGTGTCTTGGCGGTAAGAGGAGGTCGAAGACACCGCCACAGAAATGAAAGGAGCGTTTGGCGTCTAGACTTGCTTACGCGTCTGATCTGTTGATAAAAAATAACGGTGTTGAGATGTCACATATGAAGGATGGCGAGCTGGAAGGGTTGGTTGATAAGCACGCATGTGTGTGAGCCGCGGCCAATGGCTCCTTTCGACTACGTCAGCGACGGAGGCAAGTTATTGCAAAACTTTGAAGGGCAGTGTGGTGTACGCGCCAAGGATACGGAGTACACCAAGGGCAAAAGCGCACGCGAAAGATGATGTCGTACACCATTGGTCAGTACTAGAAAGAACGTTCGAAGCTTGTGCGAGCAGGAATCCCCCAGAACCTTAACGGCTGCTAACATCACCCGGAAACGATAGCTTGGCCCCTCTGCAAGACGCGAACGCATCGGAATGAATGGCAAAAATAGACTTGTAAGCTTCTAGCAATGGTCCTGTCGTCGCAATTCCGCAGAAGACATAGTCTCAGCTTTGGGTCGTCGGCAACAGTGTCAACTTGGTGGTTACGTATGCTTCTTTCAATTGCCGGCCACCGCCGAATTGGGGGCTATCGGGCCTTTGCTGGTGTTGGCACTGGGAGAATAAACGACCAATTCCAGCTGCGGCTACAGGAATGACCCTTGCCTCATTGATGGAGGGGCTTGGTATCACCGGGCCAAGGGTTGTCAGTGGCGCGTTTGATTTGAGCCTCTTGCAGGGTAAGGGGGGTGTTAAACAGGAAACGTCCACTTATAGCTGAGCATACAAAATGTCTGACCGCAGACTCAGTTATTGACGATTCGGACACGTTCGAGCAGGCGCGAAACAAAGTTCCGCTGCCCTCGGTCCCTTGCCAACAGCCACGGCGTGGCTTCGCAAGTCAGGGGTCTAGAGACTCTAGGCGACACCAGGTGGGATCTACTAATTGATTCGCAGTTATTCAGCTTACAGAAACCAAAATACATTTACCACGGAATATACGCCAGTGTTTAAGAGCGAGTCTAGTATATTTCTGGTAAATTTCTTATCCGGCTCCTTCGCGTGGGAAAGAAGACGGTTTCGGTTTCAACACAGGTCGATTGTTCTCGTGGAGCCGATGGGCTTGGCGGAGACGGACGTGGCGCTCGGCAGCCCGTCCTACGCACCCCCTCCCCCTCCTTTCTGCGGTGTTTTTTGTGGCTGCTTCACATTCAATCCCTACCAGTTCTTCAACGCCGGCCTCTGTGGCTGACCTTAGTTGACGCGATAGTCGACAGAGCATGGCATGTACTTCCAAAGTACCTTCTTGTACATTCGAGTCTGGAGAAGGCTGACGTGGTGAGGATCTTGCGCGTCCCGCACATATTCTATTGTACTCCTCAAATTTGTCTCCCACGACACGCTACCGCTGTTTCCTCGCCTAGCTTTTCTGGGAGAGCAGCATCAGTCACGTTTTCTGTTTCATGTTTTAGTCCTCGATGTGCATGACCAATAATCTGGGGATACCTTTTTTTAGCCTTTTCTTCCCCTGGTGATGTCCCCTGTTGATGATCTCGTGTTAGTTTCGAATATTGCCACCGTAAACCTTCTTCCCTTCAACCTCCTAGACGCATCGGGTGTTACAAGCTGTTGCTTGCTCGAGCGTCGTCAACTCTATGATGTGGTTCTGCAAGACGACAAGTTCGTACGATGTCGCGGGCTTTGTCACCACCATGGCCACCATGTTTCCGGTCCTCAGCCTTGCGGTATCCCTTCACGCTTGTGTCGCCAACGCTGAGCAAACAGTATACGTCTCGTCTGGAAGCTATGATGAAGGTAACCTGGGCAAATACCCCGTCCAAGACTTCAAGTCTGTCCAGCGTATTGCCCCCCGGCCAAACGTTGTTCGCCAGGACAGCCGATGCACAAAAGAGTTGTTTACTTTTTTCTCGCCCCGTGGCTATGTTGAGCAAGCAAAGCATCCTCAAGCAACTATTCTTGATCACAATGAGCATTTGATCTGGACTTCCGGATCGGACAATAAGCAGATCTACAACCTTATGGAGTAAGAATACAAAGGTCACAAGTACATTGCCTTTTGGGCGGGCAACGATGCTGTAGGAAGCCATGGCGCTGGCTCTTACTACATGATTGGTTACTTTCTGCAATACTATTACTATTACTCTACTCCGTACACCATAATTACTATGCCGAGTCATGGATATTTTCTTTGTATAATTAACACACTGCAATAATGCGTCGCCGGTGCTACTCGTGCCACGCCACGCTTGTCTGGAACTCCATGTCGCAACACTCGCACCAACCAGATCACCCATATAACCACCTTTCAGCACCTTGATCTAATTTTATCCTCTATTCACCCACCTTCCAATCTTCTGGCATATTGAAATGGAAGTGAAGATTAGGAGTCCTTAAAGTATATTGAAGAATTTCCTGGCGCCAAACTGGCCACGGCTACTCCAGAGTTTGGCGTACCATGCGGGCGGCTTCGTTACCGCCTCGAGGGCCGCACCTGGAGACCTGTCAGCGCAGACAAAGGCGTCGATATTGGAATACCAAACCCTAGTGCAAGATTCTAGTTCAGGTGGATACAATAAATTCGTGGCCTTTCAATAGTTTTCTATTAGCCGGCCGGCGGCATGATAATAATAACGCCATGCAAATTATCGACTGATATTGGAATTATGCTTTAGCACGAATACGACACCTAGTTCCACCTACATAAGTATGTAGCCTAATAGCAGATAATAACTGACAAGTTATCGGCTGATAATAGCGTCCGTGACCCAGTTTTAAAAACCCTGCCCTTATTCCCTGGTCGGATTTTGCGTTTGATTTATAGCTCCAAATATATTATTATACTAGGTTATATTATTATTATATTAGAATGCATTTATCTAGAATTTCTTAAAATGCCTTTAAGGTATATTTCCAATTAGGAGCATATATTATCTAATAAGCACCCTGACTAGTTCATATCTTGGGAACCCTAGTTGTTATAAAACTTATAAAGCATGAACTACTTAATTAATTAACTTCTACTTTTTTAGATACTATATAAATACCGCATTTGTCTTAAAGTTACTATGTGAGCTTTTTTGTACATATATAGCTTTGTAAATCGCATCTAGATAAAATAGTTAGGAGCTTCTACCTAGAAAAACTAAAACAACAAACCGCGAGCCTTTAACTCAAGTTGCTTACATCTCCTACTACCTTTGTATTAAACTCGTTTCCAGTTATCACGCTACTATGCTCGTCTTGTCCTTGTTACCTGGTGCTCTTGGTGCCGCGGGGGTTAGCGCCGGTGGCTGGGCAAACGTTTACGTGGTCGCGACCTCAAACGCTACAGGAGACCCGTTTCCACAAAGGCCTCTTCTTTGGGCAGAATTGAAATGCTTGTCCGGAGAATGAAGCCGTCAATCTATCATTTCGAGGCCAGGACATCCAGAATGTTGGCTGTGTATCCGGCCTCCCCAACGAGCAGAAGCTTAAGGAAGGACAAGCAGGAACAGGAAAGTGTCAGATTGTGGAATTATCTGAACTCACAGGCCTGAATGGCGGCCGTCTTCTTTACAAAAGCTTGGGGGGGGGGAAGGGTGCCACAGGGATAACACAGTTTTCAGAATTGGAAAAAAATCTACCATCGGCTGGCCAGGTGGGCGAACAGGGCACTGCTGAGAAGACTGAGTCACAAACGCCAGGTAACGCGAAGCCTGATTCAGAATGGTCAACGGAGTGTCTCAAAATAGCCAACGACAAGGTTCTTGAGTGCCTAGCCAAAAGCCGCGACCAAGTCAACCGTTCCGAGGCCGTCAAAAAGTGTAACAACCAAGGCTTTGGGGCAGGCACTAGCTGCGAGGAGGGGAAAGAATATCGTGGCGGATAAGGGCCCTACCATGCAAAGCTGAAGATGTAGCTCGAGTACTCGAGGTACGCACGCTCGACTACCACCCATGTTAATCTCAAGTCGCTGATTTTAAGGGAATAGCTACAATATTAGGGCCCAATTACCTCTATACATAGACTATAAACGCTATCTATAGTCTAGGCTTCTTTATCTTATACTTCTTTACTAGTTAGTTAGGTCTTGCTATTGATTTCACGGCAAAACACTCGTTAGAACCTCAAACAAGCCCTATGGCCGAGAATATCCGAGAATATTAAGCGTCTCAACAACATCTCAAGCAGCTAGATTCGGCCGGATTGCCTGCTGGCCTTGATAGCTACATTTAGCTATAAAAAGACTTAGATCCCTCAATAGCTAGGCTTAATAGAAGGACCTTTCTGACGCTCCTATTATATCAATATTATATTAAAGATGTAAGGCGGGACATAAGCATCATTTGGACCATGGGAGGCAAGGAGACTAATTTCGCTTTCCAACACAAAGCTCGGTGGGACAATGACTACAAGGAAATTACCCTCTTCGACAAGAGCCACGACGGAGGAGCACTGGAAATCGCTCACCCCGGAGGCATTCGACTCCGTGTCGACCAACTCTTCATGACGGTCAAGGTCATCATCGAGTATAAAAACCCAACTCACGTTCCCGCTGTGTCGCAAAGCCCGATGTGAAATCTCCCCAACGGCCACGTCCTTGTTGGATATGGCTTCAGTGGTGTATTCAGAGTTCACACGCGGCGGCAAAGTCTTGTGCGAGACGCACTTTGGTCCACAGAGTCGATTCGGCACCGGTGATGCCCCGTCATACGGGTTGTTTCAACATTCGAATCTTGTGGACCTGCTTCAGGATCATTAGTAGATGTGTGAGCGGAAATGCATGTCGACATGAGTCCAAGCCAATTCGGTGGAGGCGCCGGAATGTGGGAGGAGGCAAGCCGCTCAGGGACTCGGGCGTCGTCATCACTGGATGGCGGCAGGTTGCAGGGTGTAGCCGAGGCAATGGCTACCATGCATGGAGCTGATGGCCTCCCGTTGAACTGTATTTAGACACGGCTGAACTTAGTGAAGAATGATGATGATTTGCGAAACGCGTCACGACAGGCAGTCGCCCACAACCCGGCGCTTGGGTGACGGACAGCGAATGTTACTTTGTGCGTGGTGCGGATACAGCCGCCCTGGCAAGCGCCGGCAATAACGACGGCACCTGGGATCAATTCAATGACAGAAAGTGCACCGTCGGGGCAAAAGGAAGACGCGGTGGCCAAGAATGGGGGATTGGGGCTGAGCATCAACTGAACTGCCTGTCAGGGCGGCATCTGGAGCTGCGAGTTCTCAATACGTTTGGTCCACTAACCAACACGACTTTGACCCCAAGTTTGAGATGATGGCTTTCAAAGTGTCTGGTCAACATTGAACTTGCTTGCCCCACCGTCGAGCGCTGAAAGCTCAGAAGCCTAGAAGCCGCGTCATCAAGCCTCCCCGCGCACTCGGTCCAAATGAAACTGCTGCAAGCAGACTAGCAGTCCCCTAGAGCCACAAAGTAGCCGTTTATCCGTTCTTTTCGCCTAGTTTTTGCTTTGCCAAGACAACCGCCAAGGCTTGATTGTCATTGCACGCGGCAATGTCACCAGCAAGTCACTGTGCTGTTGTACGCCAATGTGCCGCCTCAAGGCACCAGACAGTACCCAATTGACATGAATTGACATCTGGATCTTATCGGCGACAAGCCCCCGTGCTACCGGGCTCATCCATGCAAGAAGGCCTGGGGCGTGTGATGTGATGCCCCTGCGCGCATGTCTCCCTGGTGGAGAGACGACACTTGCAAACCAAGCATCAGTTCTCGCGGCCGAGTCGTGACGAATCCTCCGACATTGCGTCTCGGTTGCGTCGAGTTGTACTTGGTGCAAAACTGGAGGCCTGTTCAATTGGCCCCAGCCTCATGACGGAAAATAAAGCCAAAAACACGCCCTGCTCGCCGGGGAGACCGGGGTATCACACGCTTACAACTATCGGCACCATCTCCCCGTGCCTCTTTTTTTAATCACGATAGTCTGGGTCGTCGGCTGTTGTACGTCTTGGCAATTCCCGGGTCACCACGTATCGGCCCGTCGACGCTGACCATGACGACGACGGCACTTCCGATCCTATTCAGCCGGAAATCGCCCATCTTCATGCCGTACTCGATATAACGCTGATCGAATAATTCCATTCCCTTCAGTTTCGAGAGCACAGTTCGTCCCCTCGCTGTCCCTCTTGCCCTCATTTCTTACTCCTTTACGAATTTCACGAAATCGCTCCTTTCCCTAACCCATCCAGGATATTAAAAAAAATCCTCCCGTCCTACTTCACACAGCACATGCCAAGACCAGAAAAATGCATCATTCTTCAAAATACAAACCCAAGCCCTTCACCGACATCTTCACCCCCGACACCGACATCAACCGCAGCAAATGCGTCCGCACCGTCCCCATGAAAGTCCTCATCCTAGGCCTAGACCGCACCGGCACCGCATGTAAGCAACTCACCGACCCGTGTGCCCCCTCACTCACTAACAACAAGCAGCTCTCCGCGCGGCCATGAAGCGCCTCGGCTACCTCGACACATACCACATGACAAGCTGCCTCGAGAACCCCCCCGACGCGCTGCTCTGGACAGACGCCCTCTGCGCCAAGTACGACGGCGCGCCTCGCCGGCCCTTCACCCGCCGCGACTGGGACCGCCTCCTCGGCCACTGCCAGGCCGTGAGCGGCTGGCCCGCCGCCGCCTTCGCCGCCGACCTGATCGCCGCGTACCCCGAGGCCAAGGTCGTCCTGACCACCCGCGACGTCGACGCCTGGCACGCCTCGGCCCTCAAGACGGTGTACTGGCGCGCCACGGACCCCGAGCTCGGGTACCTGTCGCGCGTGGACTGGGCGGCCGGCATGTACTACCCCCTGCTGAGGAAGTTGTTTGACACCTTTTTCGAGGGGGACTTTGCCGGCCGGGGGAAGGAGGTCTTCCGGCGTCACTGTGAGGAGGTTCGCCGCCTCGTGCCGGGGGACCGGTTGCTCGAGTATCAGGTCACCGAGGGCTGGGGCCCGCTGTGCAAGTTTCTGGGGGAGCCGGTGCCGGAGCACGCTGCTTTTCCGAATGTCAATGACGACGAGGAGTTTGTGCGCCAGTCGCGCCGCCGCAACAGGGACCAGATGAGGAATGTGGCGTTTCGGATACTGGTGTGGTTGCTGGTGATGCTTTTTGCTATTGGGCTGGTGTGTCGGGTGTTTAATGTTGGCAGGGTTGTTTATACGCTGGCTGTGCCGCTGGGATACGACGTTTCTCAGTTGTAAAGTCTTTTCTGGGGGTTTCCAACGGCCCTGTGGCGTTGTCTGTAGTGTTGGGGTTTTGGGCGTGGCTCTATCTATGGGTTTAAGATAGGCGTACTGGTCGGTATTTCCTTCAAGACGGTGTATTATGAACCTTGTCGCCGTACGTTGTCCCGTGCCATCATTGATGGTTGCATCGGGGCCAAAACGTGGCAAATCCCCTGTTAGCTCCAAGGTAGCCACCTCCCCGCCTTGGTATCCCTGAGTGACAATGGCATTTTCACTGCGTGGTAATCGTTTCTATCCAGTATCTTGGAAATTCAACCTACCAACTATTTTATTGCCAATCTCAACTTCAATGTTCGCTTTGCGCGCAATCAATAAAGCTCGGGCATCTTCCGCGCCCCCCACGCTCCGACTTCCCCTTTGGGATGGGCGTGTGCGAGATGGTTGGTCGACAATGTCGCATGGTGGCGGGTGCTGCCGGGTTTTGGATATCTGGACCTTTTGTTTGTCGCCGTTTTGTGGAAGCGCTCGCGGATGCGCTCTTTTGTATGTAGATTGCATGTCTCGTGCGCAGAGTTGAGATTGGATGTGTAGCCTAGGGTGAGCTGTCGCTGCCGAGTGAGTCGCCGCAGGCTAAGCACTTGCCCCCCATGTACTCTGTGCCGACGTTTCGTCAAGATTAACACGGCACCTGGGAAATAGTGGTCGCACCAGGCGCATCTACAGTCTGGTCTGGTTCTAAATTTACTTGTCAGGTGCTTTGCTTACTTGGTTCCCGGATACCACCGTGGTCCACCGGTGCGCTTGAATCCAGATGGGCTTGCCCCGTACAATGGGGAATGACGGCATCGCTGGCCGGAAAATAGGTGCCGCTTATGCCGCTTGCTTTAAGCGCGGAGTCGTTTATATATTAGGCGAAGGGGTCTCCACGACATGTCTTTGCATCTTTCCAAACATTGTTTCTGTTGCCTCCATATCTGGTCTTCGCCTGGTGCTGTATCTTGCGAGATGGCGCGCTCCCTGTCGGCTTGCTCCCGAGGTTGAATTATGCCTTGACTACCACGCGGAATACCCGATATGCACACATTGGGCAGGCAATAGACATTGAGACATTGACACTGTTAGTTGACAGTCATATGTCAATTCTCACATAGTATTACATATATCAGCGAGGATGGACGGGCGCCAAGGAAATGGCAGGTTTGTCCAGCCTTGGCGCTCCCAACCAAGAAGCCCATCGCCACGACGCCAAGGCGGCAGCCATCAGATGAAATTGTGGAGTGGGCTTGGCGAGATTGACGACAATCCAACGACACGCAGGACCAGAAAACAACTTTATACTTGTGGCGGTAATTTTTCTCCGCAGGCTATTAAAATGCAACACAAATAGACCACATCATCCAACATGACTGGGCCTTTACTTGACAGCTAGCTTCTCTGCTACGTGCTCATCTTGCGCAACGTCGACGCGCTCCGAGTCAACTTTGCCCAAGCCAAGCTGAGCAGTATCCCAGCCACGGCTCTCGAGAAATTCACGGAAGCGCACATCTTCATGAGTAATGGTGTCCTGGCCAATGTTGGGGATGAAGAAGAAGGCAATGGCGGCTGACAGAATCGACAGGCTGGAAGCCACCCAGAATGGATACTGCGCCGACTTGACTTTATCATCGCCACCAGCGGCCTGGATATAAGGGAAGACCCAAGTCCCGACAAAAGCACCAACCTTGCCGATAGCGGCGGCAATGCCATAATATCGACCACGAACACCAGTCGCACACGTCTTGGCAGCCAACAGACCAATGTTGTTGCCAGGGCCAAGCTCGCCAAGAGTAAGGAAGATCCCGTACAGGACAGCAAATCCTGCAATATGGTTGACAATCTTGCCATAGACTCCAGCCATGATGTATCCGACCACAGCCTGCACGAGAACGCCACCAATAAGGGTATACTTGGGCCCAACCCAGTCAGAAACGAAAGCACCGAGCATCGTGCCGGGCAGGTAGAACAAGTTAATTACCGTGTTCCAGCCAAAGACTGTGGTTAAAGGAGCGTCGCCGTCATAAATTCCGGAAAGAATGTCGGATGAATATATGCCGAACGCATACGTGGAGAAATCGTAGAGGAACCAGATGGTACTAACGCACAACAGACGGAACCAGTAAAATCTCAGCACTAGGAGGTACGGCGTCTGCTTTCGCATCGACTCTCTGGAAAACTCCTCGGGCTCTTTCAGCCGCAATCGCAGGAGGAAGAGAACCAGGGGAAACACTATGCCGATGCCTAAGCTGGTGCGCCAGATGGTCGAGAGATTTTCGTTGTGGCAGGCAGCGGCGACAACATCTGAACCACCATCAGCAACGCACC